TGTGCACATTCTGATACAGCAGGTATGCACAGTATGCACATAGTTTGCCTGTAACCATGGCAACCACTTGTCGACTGAGTTCTTCCTGCTAACTGTGGATGTTTTTGTTATTTCTGAGTTATTTCTTCCTTCTTCAACATCTAACGTGCAGCTCAGAGGATGAAACGGGACCGGTGCTTCCCGGGTACGACGGTTATTGAAGCGACAGGAGCAGATTAGAATGACGTCATATAGCGGTCCACTTCCTATTTGAGCACAGATGCGTTCACATCACCCGCAGGCCGAACTCTGGTACTCGGATCCAGTCCCTGAAGCGTAACCGCCCTGAATCATCACATTCTGTATTTATTTACATTTTCATCCCACATCTTTTGGAAACAGGTTGTGTTCTTTCTGTTACATTTTGTTTCCAATCACTTCATTGAAAACCGGTCAGGAACAGATTTTCATCCAATGAAACTCAAATGGCATCACAGTCATCATCACTATAACGTATCCTGCATCAAACGTCGGCCATTCTTAACAACATTTAACATCTATTGGCAGATATGCATCCACATTTAAAGAACAGGAAATAAAAGCAACAAATAAACTGACAGCAAACAAACAGGAACACGTCTACAGAGTCCCTACAGTTTTCTAGATTTAGGCAGGTTACACTCCACTCTTGTGTGCATGTTTTTTTTCTCACAATATTTGGACTCCAATAACTCAAAACAAGAGTGAGAGTGTAACCGTGCGTTCAGAATCCTCTAAGCTAGCCGCCCTACGTTAAGTCAGTTAATGAGTATTTACTAAGTGTCCACCTCTAACTCACCTATCTGTCTCTCACACTGCCTGAGCTTTGCATGTTGTTCTGCTTCTGTATTCTGGTGCACGCTCAGTCTGCATTTAGTGAATCCAAAGACTGGGCACTTACACGGCTCGCTCGATTCAAGAGTGTTAAGAATTTCATTTTTCATCTTTATTTTTTTGCTGCCAGGCTGCAAATCAGCGGGAAGAAATATCTCACATGCTTTGGTGAAACCAGCGAAACTTGTAAGGCTCAAGACTTGGGAAGGGTTTTCTTGGATAGAGATTAAAGGGGAGGGGGGGAGGGGGTTAGGGGAGGGGGGGCAGGAGAGGCATCCTGATGGATGTGGGGGATCCTGACTGAGTGGACCTGAGTGTGTTTGAGACACCTCCCCTGTGTGTGTGGCGTGCGAGCCAGGCCGGCTGACTGGCTGGCTCAGCACCGCCACCGAGTGGTACCTGTGTTCTCCAGGAGAGTCTTTGGGGTATTTGGCCTGTTTATGATCTCCACCAGCTGGTGCAGCACCATGGCGATGTACGGCTGCATCTCAGGCCCTGAGGGGTGTAGAGACAGTGAGAACAAATCTGTGTGCAGAGCAGTCATTTCTTTCATCAAACACTGAGTGGAAACTCTAATTCCACTCCAGTTCATGAATTCTACAATCGACAACAGAAAGATGCTGTTTACAATTAAAGGCTTTATATGCTTTGTTATTTTTGATCCAGCAGATGTTGCCCTGAAGTATGGAGGACAAGATCTGACAGAAGTATAAATAAATAATCAAATAAATAAATGTATGAATAAATAGTGGAATAAATAAATTAATTAATAAATAAATAAATAAATAAAAACTGGTAAATAAATGGGACATAAATAATTAAATGTCTTAAATTTATTTCTACATTTATTTATTTCATATACATGTAGAAATAAATAAATGTGGAACTAGCCTGACTGGATTAGTTATCATGTTGCAGTGTGAGTTTGGGGGAATCACCCAGAGGGAGAGAAAAGGTTTTTTTCCTGTGTGATGAAAGTCTTCAACATGCAGTTAGCTCTTTGTTGTGCAGAATCAATTAAAAAAAGGGGGGAGGGGTTCAACAGTTCCTTGAATTATGAAAAGGTTCATGCACATGTTTGGCTTTATCAGAGGTATTCTCAGGAATAATTGTGAACATTATTGGAAAGAAAAGCACTCACCCATTTGTATAGAAATCTCTCCGATGGCCCATGTGGCATTGTTGCACACTGATATTAGTTCTGGGTTTAAATTTGTACCCAGTATGGGCATGAAATCAGCTGCAAGAAGGAGAGCAGGTTGAACTTAGCATCATGCTAACAGCTTGATCTGAAACAGTGTTCTTTAGAAGCTAACTTCTCGGTACATACCGATGCACGGTTTGACGTGTTGGAAACAAGCTTTGGTCAGATCTCCCAGCAGAGCGAAAGAACTCTGACGCACTTCTGGCATTTTGTCCTTAAAATGATGGTCGGAGTGAAAAAAAAACCCAATGTGAGTGAGGTCATCACTTCATGAGACACGTGTGAGGTAGAAGACTTTTAACAGCTGCTCACCTGCATGCACTGGTACATGAGGGTGAGGATGTTGCTACGGGCAACCAGCTGCTCAATGGTGCCCCCTAAACCCTCTGCGAGTCCGCTGAGCAGGTCCAGAGCCACGATCATGAAGTCTTTGTCCGGCGCCTCGTACTGGTCCGGCTGGGACTGATGAAGCTTCAACAGGGAGATACAGCAGAGTTGAATTAATTAAGAACACTGGCTGATGTGTCTGGGTGGGCCCCCTCCCCCCTTTCAAACAGACTTCTAATGACCGTGCTCTAAACCGGCAAATCACAAACATTCATCCTAGAGGAGTTGAAGTGCCTGAGCAGCATCTTCTCTGAGGCCGATAACAGCTGATCAAATGTTCTCCTTCAGTTCATGAAGTAAACAGGAAAGTAAATCACGAGAGAGTGTGTCTTCATGTTTATCCATGCGAGAGTCCCACACACTCACCATGGCTTGAGCGAGAGTCTTCTGGACCAGGTTGACACAGCGTTGGTACACGGGCTCACAGTAGGGCAGGAAGCCGCTCTGCAGGGCCGTGGCTACAGACGACAGACACTGACGGAGGCAGACAGAGGTCAGAGGTCAGGGGACTGTTTGTAAAAGAACTAGGACTGACAAAAAAAAAAGACATGTATCCTTTCTTAGGTATTTTGTATAGTTTTGTAATGTATTTGCTGGTTGTAGTCTGATGTGTGTCTATTGATTGTCTTAGTATTTTGCTGTCTTTATTTGTTTTATTGTATTCTGGAGTTATTGTCCTGACCTTGTCTTTTTTTTTGGGCCTCATTTGTTATTTATATGTCACCAGTTTGTCACTCTATTGCACCTAATAAAAAATGTAAATAAAATGACTTGTAATCTGCTTCTACCCTTTCTTACGATAAAATACGCTAAAATAAATCCTTTTATGTTTTCTAAAAATATTTAAAAAAAGACATGTAATGTTTGAACACATTCGACCCCCTGTCGCTGCACAGACACATTTTATTTAACTTTTCTGTTGCAAAAATGAGCCTTGACAATCCAAAAGGACATATATATATATTTTGTAATATTATTCGGCAGAAACACAAACAGCTTTCTATTTATTCACAATATTTCCCACTGACAAGAACACCAGACGTTCAGTCTTAAAACTCATTTATTCAGTCATGGCTTTTATACAGTGCTTTATATCAATTCAAATCTTAACATTATTGTTTTGTCTTTTTTATCCCACTACAATTTTAAATATTCTTCTCCTATGTATTCATTTTGTGTCGTATTTTATTTTTTCAGTATTCTCCAGACATCCGAGTCTATAAACTCATTTGGGATAGAGTGCAGCTCTCTATTTATTCACAATATTTCCTGCTGACAAGAACACCAAGAACACCAGACGTTCTTGGTACACACAACTATTTGTGTCTCTGCTGTCTGCAGAGAGACGAGTCTCCCTCATGTAACTTTGTATCTCATGAATCACGCCCCAACATTACTGTCTTCATTTACTGAGGTCAAGAGTGCAATGCAATGATCAGGTCACACTGAGAGCGCCCTCTGCTGGGTACAACTGCACACTACTTCAGACGGCCTGATGCGCTGATAGAACTTTCCTCCCTGAATGACAGCCCAAGACATAAGAGACTCAAATAAGAAATGCGTGCAAGAGAAACTCACTTCTAATAAAGGGAAGAGGTCTTTGTCTTCATCTTTAAGCTGGTTCCACTTCTGGATCAGCGGGGGCATCAACATCTGGATGTATTCCTACAAATAACACACATTTAATTAGTCTTTTTCCACCGACACAGTTTGAAACTAATGAGTGAGTATGATTATTACAGACGTTTATGCATTCATGCGTACATGTAAACAAATAAAGGGAAGCGCAGGGGATTCAATAATGTCTGTTTTTTATCCTCGGGGCGTCATCGTTTATACTCACTACTTCAAAAAGTTAAGCTAAAAGGGCGTGATGATAAAAAAAAAAGAGGGTGTGATGATAAGTGCTGCATCATATTAACATGCAAATATCAATGTTGTTGTTCTGCATACCGGTTTATTGAGATGGTGACCCACTGAGTCTGCGAGCGTTCCTATGGCGTCGTACAGGATGAGCAGGTTTTTGTGCTGGTATTTGCTGAAAGCGAACACGAGCGTGTCCAGGATGAAGGCTAAGTAGGGCACCAGCTCTGTGCACGCCTCCTCCTCCAAAGTGGCAAAGGCACTGCAGGTGTAGGAGGGATTTAAAAAGAAGATTTGCAACTTTAAGAAATCAGGATGCAACTGAAGTTAAAGTAGCTAAGACCAAACCTCTGTGTCTGTTTGCTGCTGTAAAATCAGAGCTTCATGCTCACCTGCAAGCGGCCTCCTGCACCCGCTTGTTGCTGTCCAGGATGCGTTTGAGCAGCTCCGTCATCAGAGGTTTCAGGTAGGTGTCTGGTGGCTGGCTGACTACCCAGTGTGCATAGCGGCTCAGAGTCCAGCAGGTGATGGAGCGCACCAGAGCTTTCTTATCGGACAAACACTGGACGAGGTGGGGGATGAGCTCGGGCAGGTACGGGATCATACCCTGCATGCAGCCTGGAGGCGAGGAAACAGGAAGTGCATTTCTTCACGAGAGAGATATATGGTGCAAACCAAAACTAAGAACGTATTGTCTCGTATTGTCTCACAGTGTAGAAGTTTAACTCAACCAAAAGACAAAGATCCCTCTGCGCTCAGCTACGTGCAGGAACATTGCCTTTAGCTCTAGAGACCGGCAGGTTTGATGCCATTCCAGAGGAAGACCCAGTTTGTTTGTTGTTGTGAGTTAGGAGAAACTGAAAACGAGATCCACTTTTTGTTTTACTGCCCGATGTACAGCATGCTGACATCAGGGATGTTTTCTTTTTAAAAGAATGTCTTCACGTAATATGACCTGCAGAGAACGGGTCTTTGTAGACCTCTGCATATTGCAGGCTAAACAGTGGTAGAGTATTACACGATGGTTTAATGAAATGTCTGGAAATGATAACATATACACTTAAAGACAAACTAGAATCTATATATTCATTTTCTTCGAGATAAAGATCTGTCACATATTTTGAGCTAGGCTGGTAAAGAGTTGGTAATGTCTGTAATTATGGTCATTTTTGCAGAAACTGTCAGAATATTTGTGATTAAGAAATCATCTATGGCAATGTACTCCATCTGGTTATTTTTATTTAATACAGACAGTAATAATTTTGCAACATTTTGTCATTAAAGTTTTTTTTATTATTAAAATATTTTTCTTTTTTCCCCCCTTATTTTATAAATGTGTATATATGTGCATGTGTATATCTTTTTTTTCCTTAGAATTTATTTAATTGGAATTGTGTGTCTTGGAAAAATGTTTAAAACTCGATAAACATATAGTTAAAAAAAAAAAAAAATGTCTTCAATTTATGTTATGACAATTATGAAAAACTTGAGTTGTGTTTTTAAAAAATGAACCTTTGTTATATCAGATTTTATTTTGTAAAGCCTGGGAAAAAAAGACTGAACTGTGACAGGAGCTGGCAACTTTGTAATGCTATGATATGTAAACGTAAACCACTGCAACTGAATTCTTCGGTGTCTTATAAGCCCATGAGGGTCGGGCACTTTGTGTGCATGACCGGAAAATAAATTAAATCAAAAATCAAATCAAATCTTCATTTGCTACATGTTAGGGCTGCACAAAAAAAATGACACTGGAACATTTATTTTCGTGATAAATTTAAAGCTTTCAGTTTGTGTCGACAGTAAAAAATAGGGCACATTCCCTCTGAAACAGTCTCATCATTTACCTTCAGCTATGGCCCCCAGCACCAGGATGCCGGACTCTTTGACCACCCACTCCGGATGGAAGAGCAGCTCTTTGAGGAGCGGCAGGAGGTGCAGCAACAGATCGTCCCTGAACACGTTCGCCAACACGTCCAACGCCGCAGCTGAACACTTCCCTGTTGTTTTGTGTGAGAAGACGTGGAGAGGCGTGCATGGACAGACATCACACAGACATGACAGGTAGACGAGTCATCAATACGCTGTGTGTTTCTGGATCTAATCATGGATGAATCAGAGGCTACACGGCGCTGTGCACAGAGGCACTGGACTCACGCAGGTTCCAGTCTGACATAGTGTCATCATCATCATCGAGATCGTCGTCGTCGTCGTCATCGTCCTCTATCCCGTCGCCCTCGTGCTGCTGGGCGACTGTGCGGGAGCGATGGAAGCGCGGCCGGATGTCTTGCTCGTTGTCGGGAATGGCTTCGTCTTCCTCGATATCTCCCTGATGACAAAAACGTGTAAAATGAACAGTGAAGGTTTTTTTGTCCTTCAGTCTACAATATTACAGCTAAGACCTCTGGAAACGTTTCTTAAATTAGAACAAAATAAAAGTCTCCTGAAGTATCCACAGTAATTCATGTGAAAATATACCTTCAAAACCAGCTCACTCTCAAGACCGTCATCTGATTGGCTCCGCTCACTTCGATGGCGTATGACAACAAGCTTAGTGATACTCTATATGTTTAAGTTGTCTGAGTCAGCATAAGAAGCTCTGCCATCTGAATGCCATCAATCATTTCCTTGGTCAAAGAATGGAGTTGCAAATGCTTTGCTATCCATATCACAGTCAGCAGTCAGCGTCCACCACGTCTGCTGCAATTTCTCTTTTTGTTTTTAAATCTGGGAAAGCACTGCTGAACCTTAGCTTAGTGGTGTTAGCTAGCCTTGTGTCTTCTCATTAAGGAACTAGTCCCCCTTGCAATGGCGTGATTAACAGCCTGCGATTCATTCCTGGTCAAAAAAGAAAACCCCTGCAGCAACAGTAAGCAACAACCTCAGGAGTCCACTGGAGGCTGGCTGCTAAAGCCAAATCAAAGCCCATTTTAACATGTGCAATATTTGGGGCGTGGCTGAGTTGACTGACAGGTGGGCAAGTGGATGCTGTTTGTCAGGAGGCATAAGTCCCACCTCTGTGCCCCTTACTAGATTGACCAAAAAGTTAGTTGTAGCCAGCATTTCCACCATCGTTAGGATTCAAATGCCTCTCCAGAAACCAACAGCTGCAGTTTAAAATGACTTGTGGACCAAGCTAAAACTGTGCGTAAACAACAGAAACGCAGCCACCTGATGCAACCACTCCTGATTTTACGTGAGAGTATTGGGACCTCATCAAAGGAGAAAAGGATTTGGGTTTCAAGGCTTTTTTTAAAATGTATTCCCCCCCGACGGTAACATAAACCACTTAATTGAAGCACATGTCACCCTGAGTCATGGGGCACTTGGGCGTCTTATCCACAAATATTAAGCTATAAAAAAACTGACCTTGAGCAGGATGATGTCAATCTCAGAGTACTTCATCCCGTTGACGAGCACCGGAGTGAGCCTGGAAAAGGAAGCCAGAGGAAGAATGATGAGAACAAAGGGGCGAGGGAGAGGTGGACGCCCGGCAGCCATCGCTCACATGCGACTCCCGCTGCGGGGCTGCAGTGTGATGTGACAGTTTGGTGACAGATATTACAGCCGAGGTCAACGGCCACGCCTCTTAATCAGATGTCCTGAGGTGAGGGAGAAGAAAATCATCCTAAAGGTGCAAAGGTCGTCAACAACTCAGGGACCAAGGTCGCTATCAATCAACAGCTTGTAATATCAGAGCGGGAGAGCCGCTTTTTGGTGTATTGTGTGTGTGTGTTAGTGTGTGTATGTGTTAGTGTGTGTGTGTGTGTGTGTGTGTGTGTGTGTGTGTGTGTGTGTGTGTGTGTGTGTGTGTGTGTGTGTGTGTGTGTGTGTGTTAGTGTGTGTGTTCTTACTGTGAAAGGTGTCCACTCAGCACCTCCTTACACACCGGCTGCTCCGCCAGAGTGAGCCAGAACTCACAGGCCTCTAAGGCGACGTTTTCATCCTGGTCCTGAGTCCTCTGCAGCATGTACTGGGAGGAAACCAAGACAACTTTTATTGTTTTTTGTTTTTTTTTATTTAAGGCACAGCAACCACATCTGCAATCTGAGAGAAAGAAAGTACCTCACTGAGACACAAGTCAGTACAAAGAGAGTCATCGGAAAACTCCTTAAAGGAAATGTTTCATTTGATGTTTTCTGTGAAAAAAATCTCTTGAATTTTTGATTATTTATTTATTTGTTATTATTTATTTATTTGTATTGATTCTTTTTATTTAGCATGATTTTCAGACCGGTTACGAGACCACTTTTTGAAGGTCTCCGTTTTGTCTCAGAATGAAAAGCTGTTTTACTCGGTCTTGTCTCAGACTGGACGGACTCCTGATTTTAAATCAAGACCACCACTGATCGTCATTACTGTGATTAGAAGGAAAACGCCTCTTTCTAAAAGAACAAATAACTTCACTTCTTTCATAATCTGACACACCCGCTGCACAAAAGATGAAGGTTTTTCATTGATTTTTATGGCCTTGGTCTCGGTCTTGGTGTGTTCTGGACTAAAACACTATTTAAAAGCATCTATTTTACATATCGCCAGGGCACAGTACTGTATTTGACTTCTCCATGTACCTCTCTGTCCTGTTCCAGTGTGTTAGGTGAATCTTTGTTTTTCACTCGAGCTGTCTCTTTTAATCTGTCTGTATTTGCATCCCCCGTGTTTTTCTTTATTAATCTGTTTTGTCTCGACGCCTGCTGCAGATCTCATTTCCTTTGAGATAGTAACAAGAAGTTCAAGTTGTAAAAAAACAAAACACAGAGTTTGTCTCGTCGTTCTTTTACTTCTTGTCTTTTGAAACTTCAAACTAAACTCGCTGTGAAGTTAAAAGTTGAGCATTAATATAAAGTAAAACATTTTTTTTAGCAAGAGGCTAAAGGTCAAAATATCTGTGTGTGAAGTTTCTTGTTCTAAATCCACCCTGAGCCTGTGTTTGATCATGTCTAGAAACTCCTATAATTCAGCCCTGCTCAGAACAGGCTGTTTATAGTGAAACTCATATCAGGATAACTATGTAACTATTGTGCAGCCTTAAGGACTTTTCAGAAAGGACGCGGTGGGCGTCTGCAATGGGGCCGTGCTGAGCATGCGTGTAAGTTAAAACAGTTTCATTTTTGGCGCTGCACCCCTGGACGACACCTCGACACGTCCAGTAAGAGGGAAGAACACAACAAATGCTGTTCCTACTTTCTAAGACCTACCAGGACATCTGCAGGACAGCTCTAGTTTAAAAAGACATTTCAGGGAAATGGATAGACATAATATATGAAATATATATGTTATATATATATATATATATATATATATATATGTTGTGGAAAGGCTCTCATTTTCCCTCAAAGTCCAGAAGGATAGATTCTACAGGATATGGACCAAATGGACTGAATATGTCAAACCTATAAGATCTGATTTTGTTTGACTTATTGGAGTACATGGGTTTTATTTCCTCATTTTCTTTCTCTTTCCCCTCCAAGGTGAAAGCTTCCTTTGTTCTTTTGTAAATAATTTCAATTTAATTAACGTCATGTTACTGAATATGAAAAAATCTTTGGAAGAGCTAAATTGTTAAATATACTGTGAGCATCGTACCCCCCCTCTCTTTCTGCAAAGAAAGTGCTCCAATGTTTGAAAGTTTGAGGGAGGAGTCTTGCAATTATTTTGCTATTATGTGTAATTACTAATGTGTGAAGAATGCTTTTCCTCAATAAAAATTTAAAAAATCCAACAGTGTGGATGTACCAGGTGTGTTTGAAAAAGCAGCAGAAATGTGAGTCGTTATAGAGCTGCAGCTAGCTAATCCTGTCCTGCCCTGAGGATTTCATGAACACACACCCCTCTCTTCTCCCCCCCCTCAGAAGAAGAGAGGTCAGGGCTTTCTGATGAACAGTGGACGGATACAAACATACTCCCCTCCTGCACCCAAACCCTTTAGTTCTCATGTGCAGCACAAAGCAGGAACATGAAGTCTGGTGCAGCCGTCCAGCTCAGTCATGGTTTTTAATATCATATGTGCAACAATGAAGTTTGATGGAACAGGGGAATGATGATTCGGCTTCAGCTAGCCAGAAAACACTCAATAAAAGTAGCTTTTGACTATTGTTCCCTGTCTAAGATTTATCATTGTCTTACCCGACAACAACACATATACATTAACAGCCACCACTCAGCGAGCCTCCAGGCTCTCTTACCTCTATGATGTTGTGCATGTGCGGCAGCAGACGGTCCAGACGGACTTCCAGCAGCATGACGAGAGCTCTGCACACGTTCTTCCTCACCTCGGATTCCTCGTCTGTCGCCAGTGCAAACAGGTTCTACAGAAAAGAGAGGAAAAGACGAGTTACATGTTTGCTTTGTGAATCAGAATCAGAATCAAAGAATAAACAATTAACAAGGAAATAAAGCAGAACTAGCAACAACTTAAATAATACAGTATAAGAAGCTATTACAATATATAAAATATAATATATAAAAAATTAAAAATTAAAAAAAGGTGCAATGTAGGAGCTAGATACAATACAGCTATTGTGTATGTAGAAACAATACACAGTAAAATAGAGATTAAGTACGGAGACCCTGAAGGGACACGAGTTGAATAGTTTTTCAGAATAAGTTTCTGGTGCTCACGAGAAGTTTGAGATGAGCATGAAAATATGCAGACACACAGTTTTCTTGTGAGCAACAAAAAGTGTCTTGTGCGCACACAAAAGCTTCTTGTGCTCACATGATGGTTTACGGTGCACATCTGATACTTTCTAGCAGAGGTGGGACAAAGTCATTGATTTGCAAGTCACAAGTAAGTCTCAAGTTTTGACAGGCAAGTCCCAAATCGAGTCAAAAGTCCTTAACTTTGAAGTCTTAAAGAAGTCATTAGCACTCATCACTCAATCTAAAAAATAATTCAAGTGAAGAGTGAAACCTGAGCAGCACTTCAACATTTTAATCTCATCCAGTTTGTCTATGTGGAGCAGCCGAGCGGCTTGATGAAGAAAAGCTGGGAGGCAAACAGTCAAGAGGGCGGTAACTAGCTTTACTGAAGGTGAGAGGTGAACACCTGAGGAGGGTTTTTCTTAATGGGGATAGACAGACTAACCTCCAGACAGCATGTGTGTGTTATGTGTGTGTGTGTGTGTGTGTGTGTGTGTGTGTGTGTGATGTCTCTCTTTGTGTCAAACTCAGTGAAGTAGACTTGCCTCGATGAACGGGTCGATGTGCAGCATGAGCGCCTGAGTCCTGCTGATGATGAACTGATTGACGCAGGCGATGGCATGAGACCTGGAACACAAGAAGCAACCAACTTAAGATCCACAAACATGCTGTCCTATGAAAGCAGCTCCGCTCGTCTTTACAGATTTAACCTAAAAAACATTACAAATTGTTTGTACAATTCTACGACTCTTAGGGACCCGTTCACACATGCATGCATTTTTTTTAGATGTGAGCTGAATGTGTGAACGCAAACGGGAATTTTTTTAAAAAACTCGGCTTTATCCACACCCAAGTCGAATTCTCACAAGAATCCAATGAGGGTGTCCAAGGAAACCGTCTTAGAAACACAAAAAAAGTGGAAATTTGAGGTGCGGCATTTTCTTGTAATCTTCCAGAAAATGTTCAGTAGTGTGAAATGTGTGAAAATGGCTTTGGTGTCGTGTAACTGAAGATGTTCTGCATGAAACATCCTCATTAGTAGATGATTAATTCATGAGTCAAGATATGCTCCAGATAGAAAGGCTTGAATTATAGAAGGGGGCGGGGTTTATATAATGTATACGGCCTATATTTCCACTTTACGTTTGAAAGGTTATCCTTCTTTTATCTGCAGGATCTCACCTGATGGTAAACTAAATACCACAGAGAGTTTTTATGTTAATATGATGACAGTATTCATAAACAACTTGCTGTGCGAGGCACGATTAAAGGGTTAACTTCACTTTAATCCTCGTACCTGATCTTAGGACTGCTGTGTTTGAAAAACTGTAAGAACTTGGGGATCATGATGTTGAGCGGCCGATCCAGCATGTCGCTGTCCAGGATCTCAGCGGAGTCCTCGCAGATCTTCTGAAGGGCGCCAAACGCTCCCTGAGACACAAAAGAAAGAAGAAACATAAAGTATAAGCTGATGCCGACTGTCATGGGAGTAATAGATAGATAGATAGATAGATAGATAGATAGATAGATAGATAGATACTTTATTGATGCAGAGGGAAATTCAAAGCATCCAGTAGCAGGTTACAAAGACATGAAACATTTGTTACAAATTAAACCACAAAACTCCCCCCCCCATACATATATATTAACCTGGAAAAAAAAGATTTAAAGAATACCTCTAGATGAATCAAACTTAAACTGTGCAATTAAAAAATAGACTTAAACAAGAAATGTACATAACCCGTGCAGGGATAAAAATATATGTGCAATTTAAACAAGAATCTAAAAACAGTTGAGGAAAAAGAAAATCTGTAATTAGACCTGAATATAAAAAATAAAAATAAAGTGTTGACCTTCTGAAGTTGTGTTGTTTATATATGTACAGCAATGTTTAAAAAGAAGATCAAAAAACATACATTAAATATCAGTCAGTGCAAATTTGCAATAAGTGCAATAATTGGCTTCACTTTTGGACAATGAGGTGGTGGAGAGGTGTCATCCATTTTTATATACAGGCAATGGCTAAAACTAGTAACTGCTTACACGGGCTTAAAAACCCAGATTACTGTGACACTGTGACAAATATAACAATCACAGTGTGGTTTTCAGAGGGATGGGTTCTCAGTGTGTTTCTCTCGTGAGGGTGTGGAGGAGGAAGTGGAATTTATTTTTCTGTAAATGTCAAATCAATTTATGCAATTCATTCTCAGTTCTCATATTTGAAAGGTTCTGCAGTAAACAAAATATATCTTTAATGTGTTTACATGGAGATCACGGTGATGAGGGATTTTGTTCCGGTTGTGTGTCAGAGCTCAAAAGTGTGTTCATCCATGATCTACACAATGAGACTCCTCCACTTCTGCTCCAATAACCTTCAAACGGCTGGCAAGCAGGCAGACACACACACACACACACACACACACACACACACACACACACACGCACACACACGCAGACACACACAGTGTCTTAATACTGGCTGCTCAAGTGATGGTTAGTATGCATGTTCACAATACGCTGCAGACTTCACTGTCTCTCTCTGTCTCTCTCAAAAAGAAAAAAAAAAAACGCAGTCTGGGAAGCAGATTACAACAGCTCGGCGGAACTGACACCGACGGTTGTCTGAAATGTGTTGCCATGGAAACGGGCACCGTGTCGGCATTCCTCTGAGATGACAGATAGAGAATGGTTCTCCAAAAAAAATATGGAGAAGCTAGAAGGAGGGGGGGGGGAGACGAGGAGAAGGAGGGGGGGAGAAAGGATGAGACTGTGTCAAGGTCAGAAACAGGAAGAGACAAAGAGACGCCAAGGTTGATCAAGACTTTTCCATCATCAGAACAAAGACAAACACTGTTTCTCACCTTGAGGGGAGTAAAAATGAACGAGGAAAGGGAGACCAGACACACAGAAAGACACTACATGTGATCTACATGTGATCTGATGTGGGGAAGAGTCCCACATCAGATCACATGTTGAACGCAACAACATCAGACTTCTGCTTTGTGTTTAATGCAAAGGCTTCGATCGCAATAACAATAAACTAAAATCATATCGATCACAGAAGAAAGAAGTCTGGTTAATTTGACGTCTGCCCGTTTACTGCGAGAGAAAAAAGGAAGGAGACAAAAGCAGCGGTGATAAAAAAAAAGAACGAGGTATGGACACAGATGTGCTTAAAGGTGGAGTCAGTTTCAGGTTTGATGTGCACACTTAGAAGTACCATACCGCCTAAACACTGATAAAGGAACTGTATGGATATACAAGAGGAACTATCTTTTGATATATTGACCTCACAAAAGAATGCACTAGAGAAACGGGTACAGACTAGAATCAACTCCTAAACCTGACTCCTTCTGTTTTGATGTAATGATGCAAAAATGTGACTCTTTGACCTTTGGCTTGTTTTTCTTTTTGTTTTTTAGCATGCATTCCTGTACTGTTTTTGTTTTTCATGTGTAAGTCTGTGCTTTTTTTCCCCTTTTCTTTGTGCTGTAGAACACGTAAAAATTCAATAAAAACTGAGTAAAAAAACAAAGATGGAGTCAGTAGAAATGTTTGTTGCAGCTTGTAAATTAAATATTCAAACTGAGACCCCTCCTCCTCGACTCATCGCTACCAGTATCACATTTGTTGTACCTACACTGGAAGCTACCTCAGAATTTTACATTTGTTGTAACTGAAAAGCCGATAATTTAGCAGGCTAGCACAAGCTAACGGCTATCGACGTCCGCAGGTTAGCCAACCCAAAGGTCACCCTCGTGTTTCACTTCACTATGATTATATTTTCTCTTCTTTGTCGCGACGTCTGCGTCTGTATGCATCGCTGAATTGTTCCCAACTCACATGCACGCTGTCATTGGCTGGAGGAAACACATCAGCTCCCCCAACCAGAAACGTCCAGAGTCAACCAAAACAAACCAAAACATGACGATCCAGGCCGAGGTCAACAAGGTCTCTGCAGACAGACCACCATGTACGGAGGACCATCAGTCATGATTGAGGAGTGTTCTACAATTCTACAATTCATTTAGCAGATACTTTTCTCCAAAGCGACGTACATCAGAGAGTAAGAACAACACAAGCAAGGATCTAGAAAAAAGGGAACAATGTGAGTAAGAGCAAACGATCAGCTTTGAGTCTGATTGGACACACAGGTGCTGACAGGAAGTGACCAGAGGCAAAGCACAACATTGAGGGCAGTTCTTGAGAGCTCTAATCAGTATAGAAACCATCTTATAAGTCGTCGTTATCAAACAAAAACCATCGTCATTACCATCATCATCATCAATAATATGGAGACCATCATCATTAAGTTAGTAGGTATTCATGAAAGAGCTGGGTCTTTAGCTTTTTCTTAAAGGTGCAGAGGGACTCTCTCTTAGGAGTTTAAGTCTATATTTTATATTTTAGGAAAAAGCTTCTTTCTCTGCCTTTAAAGTCAAGTGAATGGAAAAGAGAATATAAAACACACTCTCCCATGACGACAGAAACGTCATGCCAGGGGCTGTGCTGATTGATCATCAAAGGTCAAAGGTCAAAGGTATCTTTGGAAATTTGTTTGCAGCTGGAGACATACAAATAAATAAACAACACTAATAAATCATCCAAACATCATCCAAACATCAAGTCACTTGGGATCTTGTCTCGCCCTGTTGGGGTTCCACTCCATGATAGCAACCCGCTCACTACATTATCCCTTATGTATCGTATAGGAATGTATGGTAAGGTGCATTACATCATGAGTTATCCTGCTACTCCCATCCCTATTAAAAAAAATAATGCAGCATTAGATTCAGGCTCTGGAAACACTTCAATAAACTCAAATGTAAAGTTGTCATGTGGAAGTGTTTAAGGGCAGGACATCACACCGCTCCCACCGTGGCCGTGTCCGTGCGTTAACAGAGAAGGGCACAAAAATGGGAGTGGCCTCCATTCCAGCATTCCAGCGACGCACCAAGCATCTGAAGAGTAATCCTCCCCCCGAGTCGTGCAGTGGAAGGTCATTAAACTGGAGAATGTAAGTCATGCAGACGACAGCGAGCCGGGGTGGGGGGAGAAGAGAGAGAGAGAGAGAGGAGAGCGTGTATCCAAGTGAACGGACTCCTGCTGCGGACGTCTGAATAATCTCTCTTTACCGAAAGAGCACGGAGGTGACGAGACGTTTTCAAAACATGATTGTTTGACCTGAACTTGACCCTCACAAGCACTTTCCAACAGCCATCTATCAGAACAGTAAAACTGCTCTGAGGGCAATAAGATCTATATAAAGCCATCCACTAACATCATACTTGGCATCCGACACACCTGCTCGTGTCTTTTTTAAGAGCGTGCAGGGGGGGGGGGACACGGCGGTGCACAGGGGACTATTTCTACTACTGCTAATGCTGCAGATCGAGATGTGAGCGAGGCGGTGAACTGCTGCAGGCTACTGTCTTATATCACAGAAATGCATGTACTGTGCTCTATGTACAGAAAAGAGAAGCAATATTCCAATTTAAGACAGCATATTTATTAAAGGGGACATATGATCCCCCTCCTCCACCTTTTCAAACAGTCCCCCTGTGGTCTAAATGAAACATCTGTGCTGTGCTTTGGTCAGAATATAACATGAATCAAGCACCAGAGGAGGTTTGTGACCCTGTATAAACCAGCTCTCTCATAACGCTCCGTTTTGGTGTGTGTGTCTCTTTAAATGCAATGACCCCCCCCCCTCCTGGTAGACATCACTCCTCTATAGCGACCTGCGCAAAAGTTTTGCTTTAGGCTGGGGGTGGAGTCCAGGGGAGGGGAGGGGATTTCTTTTTTTTTTTTTTTACCAGAATCCCACTGTGACATCACAAGGAGAGCACATTGGAAACAGAGCATTTATCTCTGTGTTGTAAGACTTGGAATTATTTCACATTTTGTGGCTCAGTAGACACTCAGGTTACCCAGATGTTCAGAAACACTGAAGAGGATTTTTCTAAATACTGTATGTCCCCTTTAAATCTATTGTGCCAAACATCTGCAGGCATTAGCTCAATGGGAGACACATTTGTGCATCATGTTGCACAGATAAACGTGTAGAAGGACGACACAGGAGACGTGCAGACTGATGCCAACACGTGTGTGACACTGCTTCACTACAAAGTGCACACAGCTCAGAGAAGTCCACGGTGGCAGCCACCAAATGTTCCCTAAAAATAGAAAATCAAAATACATGTAGCAGTATTCATGTCAGTTATTTAAGGATCTCTGGGATATTTAATTCTTAAATGTGTTTCTGCTTGTCATTGATACTCTGAAGTCTCTGTTTAATTAACACGGCCCGCTGAAAGGAGCAGCAGAAACGTTCATTCTCAACTTTTCTGAATGCACGTTTTTAAGGAAGAGAAATGCAAAACAGAACTCTGAAATATCAACGACGATAAGTCAAGTTCAGTCTTACACTG